CAACCTACTAGCTGAGTATAGAATATCCCTGTCTCAGGGACTTTCTACAGAATGTCCCTTGTTAAAGATTTAATTTGCCATTGAACATAATTTACTGGCCACCCATCGCAGTGCTGAAGGAAGTGAGTTATGGGGTCAACGCTGTGTTGAACCATGATCCCGTTATATCACTACACGCTCACTGACTTATGGAAACTTGCAGACGATATCAAAATCAAACAACAAATGTCACTTCCATTTCAGTATCAAACTTGCACCTTGTATACTAAGTTACAGCCACTTGATACATAGGCACTGATAAAAACATGTTTTTGAGAATATCTTTGAAGTGCATGTACAACACCAAAAGACATGTTTGTTTCCAAAGGTTCATAAAAAGTATGTTGTTGATAAATGCTTGACATAAATTAATTTACATTGTGATTTGGTCATAAGTTTAGGGAAAGAAACCAGTGAGTGGACAATAATTAGTGGTCCTGTCTGTACTTCACTGGTCCGAAATAACATTCGTAGATTTACTTACCTATCAATACAAAATTCACTGGCCACTGCAAACTTTCAATTTAGTGGTTCTGATGAATTTTTCCAAGCCAGGGACCACAGGACCAGCGCAAATTTTGCACACTGTAAGTTGGATAAAACCATGGGGACTCTGAGAAAGGGTATCGTGCTGACAAACCAGGAAGCATTATATGTGAGTAAGGTTGTAAGAGTCCAGAAGGCCTAAGGGACACAACTCTACCGATGACTGCTCAGTGAGTCCCTTAATACAAGTACAAACCAATAGCAGTGATCATTTGAAGTTACAGTGAGTGAAAGAGTGAGTGAGTGATGAATTCCGGATAAATAAGCCTTGTATCACTATCACACTGAATTTAACCATATTATTCTATCATGCCTATTTGTATATTTTTCAAGGATATTAATTCATCATTTCTAAGTGAGTTTAGTTTCCCGCAGCACTCATCAATATTACAGCTATATGGCAGTGGTCTGTAAATATTTGAGTCTTGACCAGACAATCCAGTGATCAACACTAATGAACATCGATCTATGCAATATGGATACGATGACATGTGTCAACCCAATCAGCGAGCTTGACCACACGATCCCGTTAGTTGCCTCTTATGACAGGCACGGGTTACTGATCAAGATCAATTCTAACCTGGATCTTCACGGGTTTGTAGTTACAGAGCCTTTGACAGTTCTACTTGTTGTATTGCTATGAACATGATCTATGGACACTGCTACAAGACAAAATCCTAAACCTTTAAAGTTTAATTTACAGAACAATAAACAGATAGCTGACATGATCATACTTAGAGTCTCATCTGACCTCTATAAAGCCAATAAGTTTTACCTGTTTGTATTATTCTTTTAAACTACATTATATCAGTAAATTACTATTGTCCACGTGGTAACCTGATTCAAAAGATGGGAAATGAAACCAAATCATATGCAGGATTTTTGCTCAAGCAACAAAATTATGGGTCCATGGTAAGTTTCTAGGGTCCTTAAGGAAATATGAAGGTCATCTGTAAAATAATCTAATGGAAATGTACTGAATTGTAAGCTGAACATACTTACTTCAATAACTGGACCCTTATATTTCTTGTCAAGAATTTGGCAATATTCCAGCAATATCATGGTCGGGGACACCAGAAATGGGCTTCACACATTGTACCCATGTGGGGAATCGAACCTGTGTCTTTGGCAATACGAGCCAATGCTTTAATGACCATGGTGATAATGTTTTATTGAATACTGAGCAAATGTATCTGTAACTCACATGGATCACAATTCACAATTGGTCAACACGGGGGCAAACCAGATCATTTTCTTAAAGGTCACACTCAATGTAAAACACAACTTTGCAGATTCTGATACTTTTCGGTATGGACTTACAGATACAAATCATCAAAAATGCAAATTCAACCTATAAAGTTGAAAAATAACGCGATGGACCGCACCCCCCCACACACACACCCACACACACACCCAATCACTGACCACATGCAATTTGAACTTAACAGCTATCAGTCTATATACCATAAACAAAACACATTGATTTATGGCTTGTGCACCCGAGTTCGGTCTCACATTATGTACTTACACAGACAGGCAGGTGTGATACTTGTACACATGACATGTTATGATGTCTGTTGATTGCAAAATGTTATACACAAAAAAATAAGCATGTCTTTACAAAACTCTATATACACACACACAATGAGCCGTGAGGGCATTGGCAAAGAAACCAGACATGGAAAGCTTTCGTTACACTTGAGTGCACACCCACCCGCTCTGACTGGGTTCTTTATCCCGGGTGCCTCGTTTTGAGGGAAGTAAACCCAAGTACAAAATATTGCACTTTTGATTTGCGATTGTACGCTTATAATTTTGTTTACATGTTTTTTCATAAGCAGCAATGAATATTATATGTCATGAATAAGTGATAATTGTGTTTTAATTATGTTTGATTTTTGGTTGCATGTGACCTTTAATGTTCAAAGGTTTGAAAAAGGAATATAAGGTGTATTTTGTCTAATAATTACAAAAACTTCACGTATTATACCAAGGTCCTTTTTAGAAAATAACAATCTAGATTTACAATTTTCTGAAATTTTCTCTCTGACCAAAGTGCGTGAGTACTCATGGCAAAATATCAAGAGAAGGTAAATAATGGAAAATAGGGATCAGTATATGCACATGAAACAGACACCAATACCGGTACGTGTCGGATCTGTAGCAGCCACTGCCGAGGCTCTATAAATGAGATGATTAATGGGAGTATGACATATCCTACTCTCATAATGTTGAACAGCCAGATTGAAAACACAATTAATCATGGGCTAAAATGTAGTACGTGTTTCACGACAATTACCACTCCTATTTATGCAAGTATCAAGCTACATTGTCACAGTGTTCGGAGTACATGATCGAGGTCAGATTGATGACATGCAATTAACAGGGACCTATACCTGATATACTTCACACAACACAAAGTGTTGAAGTTACCTCTGAATATGACATCTATTTCCTGCAAGTGAACGCTTTTCTGGAGAAGGTGTGTTTAAAGGAAAGTGGTTCATAAATACTTGACACACAAACACAACTTATATCAGTAGAGGACATAAAAGATCCGGGTTAGAATACTGATCTTTAGTAGCCCATGCTTGTCGTAAGAGGCAACTAACAGGATCGGGTGGTCAGGCTCGCTGACTGGGTTGACACATCATTGGTTCCCAAATTGCGTAGATAGATGATCATGCTGTTGACCACTGGATTGTCTGGTCCAGACTCGATTATTTGCAGACCGCCGCCATTTAGCTGGAATATTGCTGAGTGCTGCGTAAAACTAAACTCACTCACTCACTCTGCAATACAGCAGGTTTTGCACAAATTGCTGTGAAACATGTGTCTGACAAACCGTAACCTTTACTTTAACACCCAACAATGATCTTTGAACACACAGGCTTTATCATGTTTATGTGCCATCGTTCATCCCTCATCATGCTCATCAGTGTCATGCTTTCTTGGATGTGACATAATCAAACTCTGGTTACTTACAGATAATAAGAACATGTTCCTAATACCATTTAGGTTGACCTCATATTTACACCTTTTTTTCAATACTTTGCGTAGGAATTCAAATTAGACAATTTTTCTTGTTTTATTATCAAAGAAGTGTAAAATGACAAAAAGAAAGACATAAATGGTAATGTACAAGTTCAAGTTAAATCTAGTTCCTTAAACCATGCCCTGACAAGAACATGCCAAACCACATTAATCAAACCTAATTACTGTTCACCAACATTGAAGGTGGCAGTACAGTGTTCACGAATAGCGTCTGACCCCCTGACAAATCCGGCAGATTCGCCAACGGTCAGACAGAAGTCTACAACCCGCCGGCCCCAGTGTCTGACTGTATATTTCACAATGACTGTGACTGAAGTTGTTTTATGTGACATGTGACACTTGTTTGCTGTTTATAAATCGTATGTTTGTTAATAATTTCAATGTCAATTATAAGAAATATTTAATCTGAAATGTGTGTTTAATTTTATTCTGTGGGTCCTGTGCATTTTCATTGGGTCAGACAGACATCTGAAACTTACAAGACCCAATGTCCTGTGACTTTGAAACACCATTCGTGAACACTGGCAGTACACCCAACTCCCTCTGTCTAGTGCTGTATGTGGGTCAGCCGTTAAATTGTTTAAATAGAGCAACTGGTATTAACATGCAGGAAAATAACCAGGATGTTTTCAGCTGGAACATCACTACCACAAACATGCTTACCATATTTCCTCAAATATATGCCCTACCTCATATTTCTTTGAACTAAAGCTGGATGGCGTTTATTAGGGCTGGGACGATTCGCCAATGCATCGATGCATCCTGATGCATTTAAGTTTGATGCATCGATGCATCCTGATGCATTATACAAAATTACAACTATTTTTTCAAATCAGTATTATCTTAAGCATATTGCAGTACTTATTTAGAGAAAAATATGCAAGTATGATGGAGTTACTTGTTTGTTTGTTACAACATTTAAGTTTGATACAGCTATCGCAAAATCGATACAAAACGATATACATACAACTATTTTTCAAAACAGTATTATCTTAAACATGTATGATGGAGTTACTTGTTTGTTTGTTACAATAGTGTTATTGTTAAACACAAATAGCTTGAAATAAATCATTTTAAATTTTGATGCCGTGTCATTCTTTCAAGGTGTATGTATCGTGATACATATCGTATCGCAGGTAAAATATCGCGATATGTATCGTATCATGACATAGTGTATCATCCCAGCCCTAGCGCTTATTCAAGATGAAACTAAATTACATCAGACATCACAGCTACTGACAGCCTGAACACGGAGACAAGCATCTTAGGGTCATTCCTGAGTCTAACATGGTCAACAATGGGTTCAGAATGTCCATCCATCATTACAGAATATTAATACATATAATAGTAGACCTTCCTACCTTGGTCCCCCATGGCTGTCCAGTGACATTTAGCCTCTGTTAGCTTGTTCCATCACATCCTTCTGGTTGTCTAGACAATGCGAAGTCTTTGGACAGTAACCTCGCACATCTGAAACAGTTTCATAACTAACAGAATTTCCAGATTGTTACACAATCTTCATGACAGTTACCATGCATGTTCCATTGCAATGTCATAACATAAGAACATCATGCATAATCTTTATTGATTAGAAACTTGATGGTATATAGAGAATACTACCTGAGGTCTCATTACATACGAATTATACGAAACGAGTGTTCTTCCTTCGCTCGGTCAGATACCATAGGAAGGTCACGAGTTTCGTATAATTCGTATATAATGAGACCGAGTGTGGTATTTTATTTATTACCCACGTCTTACATGCATTAAACTGACAAAACAGCGTTTATTTGTTATTTTTATGGTTTCAAACTGAAACTGGTTTCATAAAGAGGTTGCGGAAGAATTTGTTACTGTAGAACACTTTTTGCATGACGTCACACTGTAATGACGTCACTACGCCATTTCTCGCCTGTCCCCTTGGTAACCAACGTCAAGATGCATGTCAGTTGTCATCGCCTCGTACAGCCCCATACAGTAAACTACTCCGTATCACCCCGTTTCTTGGTTTGCAGGCGCTTCACTCGGCTAACATCACTGGTGGAAACATTGCGTTTATGTTTTTCCACGGATATAATGTCTCAGTTCGACTCACAATTAAACAGCGACACAGCAATGGTCGCAATGTTTACATTCCCACAATGTATATAAGTTGTAGAACGAATGAATTCACGTGTTTGTTATGAATGAAAACGTAGTTCCGTCACAACGTGACCTAATTGAGAGGTCATCGGTTATCCAATCAAATCGTTAGAATCTCAGGTCAAGTCGTTACGGCACAGGTCAACGCGATACGACACTCGTGTGATGTACAAGATTAGTATGCAACTACCCATACGCTGACTACGGGGTAATAAAGATAAAGACATGTCTAACAAGAATCTACCCCCGAGACGTATCATTCAGAACCTGGATCTACATTGATCATAAACCTGGTTCTTATGACAAACTAATGTCAAACAATGGTGAAGTGACATGTTCCCACATCACTGTGAGGAGCTAAAATATGTACCATATAACAGCTCCATATACACAAACTCGATGTACAAGTTCAGGGGTGGAAATAACTTTAAAATTGCTAGTGTACTCCGGTACAGTAGCACATGTAAAATCACTTGCTCTGATAATTTTTCCACTATACCAGCTGTTTTCTTGTTGATTTTTACATAAAGAACATAATTGACATTGGAAAGTCAACTGGACACCAGTACAGTGTGATATACAAATTTGCTTGCCCGACAGAAAAAAACACTGGACTCGGGCGTCGGGCAATGGGTTATTTCCACCCCTGAAGTTACTACAACAAACACAATATGAATGCTATGACCATGGTATCACGATGCAATATAACACCACTATGCATATGATAACCTATCAGGTGAGGTAAGGTGAAATTAGGTTTTACGTCGTGCTTGAGAATATTTCGCTCATATGACGACGTGCATGCGTGTGTATGTGTATGTGCGGCTGCTTGTACTAGCCCAGACTTAAGCCGGTTTTATAGTGCTAGCCCACTGAGATACCATGCCGCAGTGAAGCATGAATACCCCACTCAGACACATTATACTGACTCCGAGCCGACCAGTCCACCTGACTGGATAAAAAGCCAGCAAAGGGAGGTAATAAAATCATCGCCTCAAGCCGTGGATGCATCCAGGGTATAGTGGAGAGTGATCATAACGTATACCCTGGAGATTATTGAGGATGCTTACGACAAGCATAGTCGCCTTTTGTGGCAAGCATGGGTTGCTGAAGACCCATTCTACCCTAGATCTTCAGGGGTCGGATACAGTATACAACCACTATGCATGCAATAACCATGTTATGAGGATACAGTATAAGTGTTTACTATAACACCACTATGCTTGTTGTGACTATGTTATTATTATACGGTATAAACACCACTATGCATGCTATAACCATGTTATGATACAGCATAACACCACTATGCAAGCTACAACCATGTTATCAGGATACAGTATAACACCACTATGCATACTGTGACCACGTTATGACACATTATAACACCACGACGCATGCTATAACCCGCGTTATGACCATGTTATCATGATACAGTATAACACCACTATGCATGCAATAACCATGTTATGAGGATACAGTATAAGTGTTTACTATAACACCACTATGCTTGTTGTGACTATGTTATTATTATACGGTATAAACACCACTACGCATGCTATAACCATGTTATCATGATACAGTATAACACCACTATGCATGCTATAACCATGTTATCATGATACAGTATAACACCACTATGCATGCTATAACCATGTTATCATGTTACAGTATAACACCACTACGCATGCTATAACCATGTTATCATGATACAGTATAACACCACTACGCATGCTATAACCATGTTATCATGATACAGTATAACACCACTACGCATGCTATAACCATGATTATAACACCACTATAACCATGTTATCATGATACAGTATAACACCACTACTACATGTGCTATAACCATGTTATCATCACTATGCATGATACAGTATAACACCACTATGCATGCTATAACCATGTTATCATGATACAGTATAACAGCATATAACCATGTATGTTACACCACTACTAAGCGATGCTATAACCATGTTATCATGTTACAGTATAACACCACTATCGCATGCTATAACCATGTTATCATGATACAGTATAACACCACTATGCATGCTATAACCATGTTATCATGATACAGTATAACACCACTATGCATGCTATAACCATGTTATCATGTTACAGTATAACACCACTACGCATGCTATAACCATGTTATCATGTTACAGTATAACACCACTACGCATGCTATAACCATGTTATCATGTTACAGTATAACACCACTACGCATGCTATAACCATGTTATCATGTTACAGTATAACACCACTACGCATGCTATAACCATGTTATCATGATACAGTATAACACCACTGCATGCTATTATCATGACCACCACTACGTGTTATCATGATACAGTATAACACCACCATACATGAAGACTTGTCATGAATGGCACGGCACAACCCAAGATGTCTAACATGCTAAAGCAATATACTTATATTTATTTTTATGACACTGACAGAGTAATGTCACATGTAACTATTGTAACAAGTAATTTACCTGTTGTGATTCAACAGGTTTAAACTCACACATTTTGTAACAGATTAAACTTTTCTTTAATTTGCACCCACTCTCAATGTGTACGCAATTAGGTTGCAAAATCCCATCAGTACTGCATCACTGGCATAAATCCAACCTGGCTACTTAACAAGAGCTATATTTACATACAGTAACACATGAGAATACACACAAGACTCTTATTAACAGCTTGTTGTCAATCAAACATCATCATTAAACTCCATCGCTGTTGGTGATTACATGTCCACAGCAGCGGTCTAACGAGGGTTGTATAACTCTGTAACACCAACCAGCCTCACTACAAACACTTCAACACACAGATCTAACTGGCACCTAAGACATCATAAACACTGAAAATAGAATGATAATGCCTGACTGACCCTTGTGATAAAGTCAAGGTAGTGTGCCCAATAAACCCAGCAAAGCTCGCTGTCGTGTCATTGTGCTGCCTACATGGTCCACGGCAGACTCAGCTCCTACAATAACATCGGTTTGTCGGTCTAACATTCGATGACTGACAGCTCCAAAGTATCAGAAACATATAGCATGTACACCAATCAATATTCCAGTTGGTAATTACTACCAGCGGAGTGGTCTCTGACACTAATCATCCATCTGTATTGTAATATGGTTCTGAGGAATACACTGAAACCTCAACAGCGCTGTGTTGTTGACTTATTGGACCACTGAAACAATATGAAACCATAGTCTGTTACATCTCTGACCATGCTGACAACGGTTCTGACTATGCAGACTGGACATTTTGATTCATATCTTTATTTGATGTACAGTGTTTTACGGGCTGGTTACACACACAACAAAAAAACAACCCATACACATGACATAACTCAAATACAAGTTTCATTTCCACCTTTTATATCATTGTATTGTTATTTCATAGATTATGTCCTGGCTGTCATATGTTGACAAAGTATCTTGACAATATGCTTATATAGCCTCAGACATTTATGGGGTTTTGTCAAGACTAGTTCAGAGGACTACATGGAAACATAATTCCCCTGACAAATGTTAGTAGTGAATATGGTCTACCATCAGTATTTTCTAACCTGTTCTGAGCACAATTTAGTTGTCTCAAGCTAGTGGAATTTTACATGCTGGTGGCAGGAGGTACCTTGCTATCAAAGGCTTGAAAAAGTACCCAAATGAATTTAGTGAGGGAGTGTGTGAGTTTAGTTTTACCGCTTTTAGCAATATTCCAGCAATATCACGGCGGGGACACTAGAAATTGGCTTCACACATTATACCCATGTGGGGAATGGAACCCGGGTCTTCAGCAAGACGAACAAAAGCTTTAACCATTTGGCTACCCCACCACCCCTGAATGAATTCAAAGTGACCAATGACAACAATTCATATGACCGATATTACCATGATTACACAGACAAATGCAAAAGAGCAGAAACCTAAAATCTTTGTAATACATCTTTACTTTATACACCCCTTTATGTTTTCTGAAAATAGAGACATTCCGACTGATTCCCTGGCATTTGATCAATGATAGGGTGACCAAGCATTTTGGAGGGTTTTTATGTTCACATGCTCGGCACGACTACAGTTTTGTGATAGTAGGATTGGTAACTGCATTATTGACAATGTTACTGACTTCCTATCGCTGTCTTCTTTTTTGTGTTGCTGATCAAATAGTCAGTCTGAGCTGTGGATAGTACAGAAATAACTTCAATATATGTTCTTGTGTGGTTTATGCAACATGTACACACAATTTTTCACACTTCAATAAGTATATTATATCAATGTTTATGAGGCAAAATTCTGCTTACAACTCAATACAGGCCAGGGTAAACCATTATACCCATTTTAGTTTGAGACTGGTAACAATGTAGACATGGTAGAAGAACAGTCTAGCTAAAACATTTTTGACTACTTGTGTCACTGGTCTGAGAAATATTTTATCAATATTCATTTCTGGCATATACTAGTATTTATCAGCAGATGTTTATAGAGCAGAAACTGGATAAGAGATCTGACCCAACAAACAGGCCATTTTGAGTGAGTGTGTGTGCAAGCAAGTCACTGTGAGACAGAAACAGCGATGACTAAGTCACACTTCTATGTCAATGACTGAACAACTATCCCCATGGTCACAGACAATAAACAAACAACTGTCCCTGTCACCATGGTCACAGACAATCAACAAACAACTGTCACCATGGTCACAGACAATCAACAAACAACTGTCACCATGGTCACAGACAATCAACAAACAACTGTCCCAATGGTCAGAGACAATCAACAAACAACTGTCACCATGGTCAGAGACAATTAACAAACAATTGTCAGCATTGTCAGAGACAATAAACAAACAACTGCCACCATGGTTACAGACAGATGACAAACAACTGTAACCATGGTCAGAGACAATCAACAAACAACTGCCACCATGGTCAGGGACAATCAACAAACATTTGTCAGCATGGTTAGAGATCATCAACAAACAACTGTCACCATGGTTACAGACAATCAACAAACAACTGTCACCATGGTAAGAGATTGTCAACAAGCAACTGCCACCATGGTCAGAGATTGTCAACAAACAACTGTCAACATGGTCAGAGACAATCAACAAACAACTGCCACCATGGTCAGAGAAAGTCAACAAACAACTGTCACCATGGTCAGAGAAAGTCAACAAACAACTGTCACCATGGTCAGAGACAAACAACTGTCTCCATCAACAAACAAACAACTGTCACCATGGTCAGAGACAGTGTCAACAAACAACTGTCTCCATGGTCAGAGACAGTCAACAAACAACTGTCACCATGGTCAGAGACAGCAACAAACAACTGTCTCCATGGTCAGAGACAGCAACACAAACAACTGTCACCATGGTCAGAGAGATAGTCAACAAACAACTGTCACCATGCTCAGAGACAGTCAACAAACAACTGTCACCATGGTCAGAGACAGTCAACAAACAACTGTCACCGTGGTCAGAGACAGCAACAAACAACTGCAACAACAACAACTGTCACCATGGTCAGAGACAGTCAACAAACAACTGTCTCCATGGTCAGAGAACAAACAACTGTCACCATGGTCAGAGACAGTCACAAACAAAGATAACAACTGTCATGGTCAGAGATTGTCCAAACATGGTCAGAGACAGTCAACAAACAACTGTCACCATGGTCAGAGACAGTCAACAAACAACTGTCACCATGGTCAGAGACAGCAACAAACAACTGTCACCATGGTCAGAGACAGCAACAAACAACTGTCACCATGGTCAGAGACAGCAACAAACAACTGTCACCATGGTCAGAGACAGCAACAAACAACTGTCACCATGGTCAGAGACAGCAACAAACAACTGTCACCATGGTCAGAGACAGCAACAAACAACTGTCACCATGGTCAGAGACAGCAACAAACAACTGTCTCCATGGTCAGAGACAGTTCAACAAACAACTGAGACAATCAACAAACAACTGCCACCATGGTCAGAGACACCATGGTCAGAGACAGCAACAAACAACTGTCTCCATGGTCAGAGACAGTCAACAAACAACTGTCTCCATGGTCAGAGATTGTCAACAAACAACTGTCACCATGGTCAGAGACAGTCAACAAACAACTGTCACCATCACCAGAATGAGTGAATGGGTTTAATGCTGCTTTGAACAGCATTCCACTCACATCATGGTGTCTCACTCTCAGCTTAATGCTGGAGCAAAACACAAGGCAAAACAGGTGTCAGACATTTGCCAATTTGGTCAATTTGGTCAAACCATAAGAGCAAGGATACAGCTCTGCAGTGCATACTGGGTTTGGTTTTACCCATAATCATAATAATATGTGTCACCGAATGCTCAACGGATACAGCTCTGCAGTGCCCTTAGGAGACTTGGTTAACAGTTCCTCTCAAATAGCATGAGGTACGGTTAATTGTTATTAAGTGTTACCATAGTTACAATAACACGAGTGCACTGAATGCTTTACTGTTAAAACTCCTCTGAAGTAGTAAAATACAGAAACCTTTAAAAATACAAATTTTAACATGGATGATGTCCCCCAAATTGCCTGTCAAAGGCATTTACATTGGAATCCTATATATATCATCTATGTCCAACATTCAACTGAAAACAGCAAATGTTTGTGTTTTAGCCATGTTAATCAGTGTCAAGGTGTGCCTGCATATGATGAATGAAATTCAAAACTCAAAACTGACATCTGATATCATCATGAAATCACAGATTCACACTCCTCTTTCCCCCCACCCCACCCTCCTCCCAGAAAATCCCAGAAAACATGTAAAAATTTAACATGTACGTTTACATGGCCAAAATCATTTCGTGCACGAGGCTAACCCATCAAAATATTATCATAATTACTGAACACAATTAAGTTTAACCATTTTAAGATCACTTCAGCATATTATCCTTATCTTGGGGCACTGGCTATTCAGCCAATGGTCAAGAATTGGCTGAGATTAGCCATGGATGCAGGCAAGTAGGTCATGATCTCTATGCACTGATCAGTCATATTGCAGAATGTATTGCCACCATAATGTTCTTCACATGTGATATACATACTAAGTTTAACACTGATATCAAGTCTAAACAACATTAAAAGTACAAACATGAGTAATATAACCATAATAATTGTGAATTCATAATGTGCCTTTTCCATGTACAAGGCACATACTCAAAGCGCTAACACAAAATCTGACTATTATTACCCTGGATACGGGATTACCTAAGCTGCCTGTAAGGCGCTAGAAGGTTAATCATGTTAATAGTCACATGACTTATCCCACTGGGTACCCATTTTCTGCTGGGTGAACAGAGGCAAGTTTGAACATTTTGACCAAACTCACTTGCCTAAGGTGACACCACATGTATTACATGTGTATTGTTGCGTGAATACACAATGCCAGTTGGAAACTCTGATGTTATATATGTAAAACTTTGGATTAGACTTTCTCCATAAAGTACAGATTCTAGTACTTTGGGGGGTTGAGTCCCCTCCGGGATTCAAACACAGACTTTCAGAGTCAGGTACCAAATCATCAGCTATGACAGTGTGAATTTCAAATCCCTTTCACAGACAGCTTAACACCTTGTGTAATGTTAGCTTGCGTAACTTAAGGATTGTTACCATTTCTATCACTTTTCTAAACATCTTCAAGTTTGGGGATAGGGCATTTACTTCTCTGTCTGAGAGACATAGACATCCCCACAGATTATGTTCTTACAATCAGCTGCTGAAACAGGCAGCATGTCAACTGTTGGTCAAATACTGCATGGCATCATTTTCTCATTTTGAACAGTCACACTGACAAGTACTAAAGATGACAACACTCTTGTTGCCTATAAACATGATAAATACAATACAAGAATACTACACTAAAGTAAGATATCATTCCACAGGCATGTGAAGATCATTACAAATTGAAGTGGGTGTGTACTATGCAGTAACGAATGTTAGCGGCTACAAAGATAAACAAGTGCCCCTGCCTATAGGCCATATAGTATATAGGCTCTTGTCATGGGTGAGATTTGGCAGATGTGTTTGTTTTAGAGGCAGAACAAGTAGCTAATACACTGTGCTATGCCTACTAAACGGGACCTGGTTGGTCAAATTTTGTGAGTTGGCTGATAACATACCATGGTGATGCGATGGTATTGATTGTATGTTGCAATTATGCTTTCTGTCATGATGCCCTGGTCTAGATGTGTTCACAGACAACAAATATATACCTGGAATACTGCTGACTTTGACTATTTATGTTGCCATAAGATACCAACATGGTTCAAATAAGGATCACAGTTTTGTATACAGATTTGACAGTGACACAGAGGTGGAAGAGTGCCTCCTGTGACTCAAGTCTGCAATTCAGTCGGACCTGTTACGCTTGAAAACCTATCACGTCTGAGTAGATGCCTAATGTGCATAATAATTCCCTCTTGGTGACTACGGTGACTAGCAGATAAATCTCGATTTTCTGTCTCGGTAAAAAGTGTAAACGAAGACGTCAACGAAGAAGTAAATAAGTAAACAAAGCGAAAATCTGGTTACAAATTGTCGCAACTGGCAGGCGATTAATAATGGATATAACTTTTAATGGTTTTAAAACTACTTGTTAAAAGTCCTTATAAATCTTACCACGTGTACATATAATCCAGTGTCTCAAGTTTATCCATCAAAACGGAGTATTATTGGAACTGGGTTGACGACTTCGGAGCACTTGTGACCTCTGAAACTTCCGGTTTGGGAAGGGAAGCAACTCACAGAGAACAATTGTTTGCACACCACTACGAAATAAGATCAGCACGCACAGGAACATTCCGCTCTGAATTAAACAAATACCACGTGCGTGTGAACCCCAAGGCACTATTCTCTTAAACAACTGCAGGTGTTTATAAATGATTCAAAGGTGCATTTATTTAATTGTATTTTTGCCGAAGATATCAATGAAAGTCAATGTTTACCACCATTGCAGTGTGTGGCGGTGGGGTAGCCTAGTGGTTAAGGCGTTCGGTCGACACGGCGAAGATCCGGGTTCGATTCCCCACATGGGTACCATTTCTGGTGTTCCCCGCCGTGATATTGCTGGAATATTGCTAAAGCGGGGTAAAACCATACTCATTCACACATCATTGCAGTGTCATCTATGTTTCCATGCACGTAGAACACTTTGTTTTGAAGAGGTTTGCAGTGGATGACCAGTGGCAGTGTTGAAGCATATACAGAACACATGGAAAGAGTGATGTTTCTCATCTCCCTATTCATAGATAATAAATCAGATTCAGAATATATAATTACCAACACGAGCAGTTACAGACTTGGATTAACAACATATACAACAGGATTTTTTTTTTAAAAAAGCAACAACAAAACGTTATTGCTTCAGAACGTGTAATGAATGTCATGCAGGAGAGTATTATATGTTATCTACGGTGTATTTTCAAACAATCTATTCCAGAACCGACGTCAGTCAACAGCTGAATATATTGCTTTGAACAGTAGACAGTGGCTTGTGTTGTCCCAAATTTTGTAATGCTTTCACACATTCGCAAATTCTTTAAACTGATACAGTACAGTGCGATAAATGTTTCTATAGTCCGTTTGGCTCAATAGCGGACCGATGAATTGCAATCTAACTCGAAAACTAATAAACATAAAATACTCAATGAAACACTGATCATAATCAAAACGTCAGACCAACTCTGTGAGGTTTTTGCAGAATTTATGTCCTAAAAATAATAAAGTTGTTTAACAAACTATCATTAAAATATTGACACAGTTCACTATTTGTTACGGGGGAGGAGTGCAGAGAAAGGGACAGTCAAGTGTGCGAGAAAGGATGGAGACGGCACAGCACAGGTTAATGGATCAATAACTTTGTCGGCACTTGTGCACGTGCTTCTCTAACACCTGACTGTCCCTTTCTCTGCACTCCTCCCTCGTAACAAATAGTGAACTGTGTCAAAATTTTAATGATAGGACATAAATTCTGCAACAACTTTTAATTTTGATTAGGACATAAATTCTAGCAAACAAATCACAGAGTTGACCAAACGGACTTGACGTTTTGATTATGATCAGCGTTTCATTGAGTATCATATGTTTAGTAGTTTTCGAGTTAGATTGCAATCCATCGGTCCGCTTTTGAGCCAAACGGACTTTTATATATACCAACCTTGCAGAAAATGTGAACTACCAAAATACTGCCCAGTACCTGAACGACAAATATAGATATCAAAAGGATGTGTGTGTTTTGTATAACATTATGCATTCGATATGGGAGTTTCGGGAAACGTGGGCGTGAATATGTTATGATCAGAACTAGGCCATTGTAACTCGACTTTCTGATTGAGAATTTGCTGTGGATAACGACAACTTAATTGCATGAGTTAACCAAGTGGGTAAAGCATTCGCTCGTCTCGCCGAAGACCCGGGTTTGATTCCCCACATGGGTACAATGTATTACAGTGCATATATTTCTTCATACATTTTTATATTTTTCACAAATTATTCATAACAAAGAAAATCCGTATACGTGCAAGTCGCAGTGCATAGTGTATCTTGTTTATAGCCCCGCATGTCAACCTTAAACTAATTAATCAAAGATGAAGCTATTGAGCTGTGTCGGCTCCGGCCTTTCTTCTCGGGTACATCCCTTGGTCAAGCACAGATAAGTAGTCCCATCCCAGCAGGAGCATGTCTACCACCAACTTAGTCGTAATCGAAAATCAACTTTTGTTGAACATGATCGAGATTACCATCATGCCATCCTCTTTGTCCTGTCGTAAATGCCATGGTCAGATATTTTGTTAAGCAGCTGGCGCAAACTGACTGTGGCTACACCATAAAGAAAATCAAACCTTGTTAGGTACTAGTAATCATCTTCTTACCACCTACCCCGTGTAGTATACTTTGTCAGCATAGGGTAGATAACGCATATGGAAACTTCAACTTTATAGAAACTTGATAATGACAAACAAGTAGAGCTGTGGGGTATAAAATCCTGGGTTCTTCCATCTCAGGCACACTTGCTTGAATAAACTCAGGAACTCACAGCTCTGCCTCCTTTCTTGTTTCAAGGTAAGAAACATTTAAACTTTATTCTTGTTTATGTTTCACTTGTTATTTCTTTGTAATTATCGTCTAGAATATGTTAGAGTTAGGTTTCAAACATTCCTACGATATTGTAGCACTTTTTAAATACCTATCATTGTAAATGCTAGTTCTAGATAACCGATAATTCTTAGGCACTATCCAGGGATATTTATTTATGCACATTGCGTCGTGGGCTCCTCAAGTTTTATGTTTTTCATGTACAGACGAATATTTCTTTTCTATGTTTCGATACACATATGTGTATTCCCAGTCCTTGTCTAGTTTCATTCATGTTTGCGTGTTAGATCTGTATATGCAGGTTAGATTCCCGTTCAGTAGCCTAGATTCTAGTAGCTTAGTCACAAAAACAGTTTCGCGAGTTTATACAATCATTTCCAGCAAAGATGAATTTATATGTAGGTCAGTTACTCTGTATTTTACAATAGTCCGCCGATCAAATAATATACGCGCTCACAGTATAGGTTACAACAGCCAACATTGTATTTTGATATTTCACTTACATAAGTATTTGAATAATGATGTATTAAACGTTCCGTTCCGCACAGCAGTTAATGAACTATAGGCACTACATGCTGTAATTAAACTGTTGGGCGCTCCACTCAGTACTTGTTCTTTGCAATTATTGTTGATGATTAATTTATCCGTCAGGTTATGTTATTTATCAGTACCGTAGTTACTCAAGGATAGGTTGTGTTATTTGTATTATGTTTCTGTAAGCAGTTACCGTACCTACCCTGTTGTACCACACATTGCTTATATTACCTGACTTAGATATAAACTGTATTAGGATATCATTAATTACTATTTCTATTATTGTATGTGATTATTATGTATGAACTGATGTATATTGAATGTCATGCAAGGACACTTGCTTGAATAAACCCTGGATCTCACAGCTCTGCCTCCTTTCTTGTTTCAAGGTTTCAAGGCTTGCTCCCTATAGCTAATTCCCCAAATCGAGGCCTGACAGCACCTTTAGCACACATAGCGCTAAAGGTCGTCCTAACGGACACAAAAAGAAAAGCTGTCTTAAATGTATGAAGTCCATTTCTGATGTCCCCGCCGTGATACTGCTGGAAAATTGCTAAAAGAGGCGTAAAACTAAACTCACTCACTATTTCCGTGTCGCCCTCTTCACGGGTAACCAATATATTTCAAAACAAAATCGATACTGAAGCATCATCACACGAACTGAAGTGGGGGCTTCTCGCCATGAGTCAGGATAAGTATAAAAATGTCAATTTTACTTTAAAAATTACATATTTTTACCTATCCTGACTCATGATCTTTTGCTTGTAGAATCCGACGGATAGGTGGTGGGTCAAGCCACTTCGTGGATTCATCAGCTGTCCTTAGATACCTCCTGTATCCCCCCCCCACATGGGAACTGCGAAACGGCATTTCCGTGATCCTATTTTTCCAACTTCCGTTATAACTCGGGGGGGACCACTTTCTTGTCTTACTTCAATCTCAGACAAGTTGAATCATGTTGATTCATGTGGCTACAGATAAACTAGCATCTTCCTATTACAAGATATCTTATAACAACCAATAGATTATGATAAGATCTTTATCATAAATGAGTTGCGACCCCTTCACGTACAGGTAAGATCTTTACCCGTACAGGATCTTTAATCACTCGTGCTAGCCTGTGCTAGACTGTGCTGATGGACTTTCAAACTAATAATTTTTCCTAGTAGAAGTCAACGTGATAAAGGGTGATATTTTCAAACTCAGCGCCTTTGATGAACCGTTAGTTGCTGTGCTACAACGAGAGGCCGAAATTGGTGAATGCCTGAGACGTCTTCAGTGGCTATGTCTTGGAGTTAGTGGTTGGCAAACACCGTGTCCGACTTCCAAAAGCAGCCCTCCATAATTGTTGGTATAGAGCAATTTCCGTGCAGAGCCAGTGTTGACGCAAGTGCTCTGACTTCGTGTTGGTTGGAAGCTCTAGGAGGTTCTAGTCCTGCTGCTTTATAGGCTCTCAATATGACGGCTCTCATCCAGAACGATATGGTCGTTCTTGAGACTTCTGCTGATGTCTCTTAATAATGGGATGAATAGGCGCTTGATTTTTTGTCTCCTTGTCTCAGTCTTTTGAAGGGGCGGTGGGGTAGCCTAGTGGTTAAAGCGTTGGCTCGTCACGCCGAAGACCCGGGTTCGATTCCCCACATGGGCACAATGTGTTAAGCCCATTTCTGGTGTCCCCCGCCGTGATATTGCTGGAATATTGCTAAAAGCGGCGTAAAACTAAACTCAGTCAGTCAGTCTTTTGAAGATATATCTTCAGGGCTCTGACCGGACATAAGGATAGGTCTTCTATTTCCTCTGGGTCGAGGATTGTAGATAGCGCTGGTACGTGGAACTGACTATCTGGCTGACCAGGTACATGTAGTTGGTTCTTGGCAATGAAGTCCCTTCTAAGTCCTACATGAACTGCAGCATGTTGCCCCCTGTCGAATGTGGTTCGACCAAAGTCCAGCGCATGTATCTCTGATATTCGAGCTGCCGTGTCTAGCGCAAGCAAGAACAGAGTCTTCTGTGTCAGCAGCTCGAGGGTAGTCTGGTTTAGAGGTTCGTAGGCATCACTCGTAAGATGACGTAGAATTACATTCAGATCCCAGG